GTAACATTGCAAACCACATCAGACATACAACTATCACCTACCATATTTAACTTTCTAAGTCACAAAAGGACGACTTTACTAATCGACAAATTATCTACTATTATAAAAGGTTCTTTTGTGTTTCGGGGGGAAGAATAGAAATACTAGGAGGGGCCCTAAATCGAGTATTTACTTCTCACTATTTTAAAATTCTGTTAGACAATATGCCATACACAACATGGAAAGCAAAACCTGAACAAGTAGCAAAGAAACAACCAGTTACAATTTCAACTGCAGAAACACGTAACCCTTTACACTCAGTCACTGCAAGAGCCTTGATAAAGCAAAACAAACATATCCCTCATACAACACAAGCCCAAAGATGCCCCACAAGGCTGCAACATACAGCAATACACACCCCCAAATCCACTCAAAACACAAACATGCATAAATTGGCCTATACCCAAATTAAACAATTAGAATGGGAGGCAAAGACAGGAATATCAAACATTTTTAACAGCAGAACAGATGTAACCTCACAATGGCCCTTAAAAAACATCCAAACCTGTTTAACAAGCTTTCTTAAACTAGTATCCCCAAAGCAAAACAGAGACATTATAACCAGCAATAGCCCAGACATTAACTCTTTCCATTGGACCCACTGAAATCACTCATTCTGTAGAACAGAGACTGCCTCAGTCAAAGAGGAAGTTAATTAACAGCGGATTTTTCCCAAAGGCACCTTTATTGCAGATAAACCCACAATTGACCCAAGAAACAGGTAACCCTAAATTTATAAAACAATGGCCTTTCCTTAAAACAGAGGTAATGCATTTACATACACTACTAAAAAAACCATATAAACACAGCCTCGCTATGTACAAAAACCCTTTCACTAATCTATCAATCTCTCAAACCTAGAGAAAGATGGATTTTCATACTTTTTGCCCCTATCTCAGAGTTGGAAAAGAATGAAGTTTTTGAAAACCGAGATTTTACAACTTACTTTTTAGTTAAAGAAAAGGGTAAAAAACACTTCTTGCATAATTACCTTTGCAAAAAAAGAAATAATGTGTTGCCCCTCAAACATAATAACAATGGTTTACTGCTTAACAACTGGGTGGAATTAGATTTTGTCATTTTCTACCACTATTCCTGTTCCTATAAAAACTTTCCTACTAACTCTTTGGCTTAACAAACAAGTGACTTGCCTTTTGGTGAGGAAAATGACAAACAAGCCCCTCTCATCTCTCACTCAAAATCTCCTTTCTTACATAATATGGGAAAAAGAAAGCAAAACATAGCAAACTAAAACTTTATTAACTATTCACTCATACCACTGCATTATCTTGTAACATTTGTGTTTTTTTCTTTTTTGTTTTCAAATCAGTTTTCTTAAAAGTACTGTAAATTGTTTTCTTAACAATAGAAATAAAGGGTAGAAAATAGTTTAAAGACATTTACACATGGAATAAAATTTAGCATCTCACCATTTTAAAGCCCAATATATTCATTAATTCATATTTTTAAAATATAAAACTGGCTGATACAAAACTTTTATTAGGTTTAGCAGTTTCATATTCTTCTAGCTATGCTAAAGAATGCAAGATAAACCTTTTATCAGTCAGCAAACAAAATTGCTACACATATTATAAAAACTGGAGCAATATAAGCAATTTACTAGGGAGCTAAATTTGAATTAAATAAATTTACCCACAGATTGTTTCAGCATAGATTGCATGCTGATTACCAATCAATTGCTGGACTCAAGATAAAGAAGAAGATTTGAAACCTTCTGTTTATAGTGTAAAGAGAGAGAAAAATTCTTTGTTGCCTAAAAGCTTCTGCTATTGCCTTTCACTATGTAAATTGGTGTCATTTTAACCAAGAACATTTATCTCCACAAAACCAGAACACTACAGCTTTAAAAATAGACTGAACTGTTATTAACATGTTTGCCAAGATTGTTTTTAAAAGTAAAGAACAACTACAAAAAATAAGTAAATGGGACACTAAGACCGTCTACATCTGGACAAACAAAAGAAGACAAGGGAACAATAAGGTACAAACTGCGGACTGGGACTCTATATAAGTTTTACAACTTACTCATATACACAAGACATTTAAATTGTTTTGTAATTAACCTATGAATGTTATAATTGATTCATGCTATGCTACAGAGTTACTTTCACATCTCGAAGCCTCCTTCCTTCGAGATTTCACTAACCCTCATTTACCTGAAAAAATACACACAATTCCTTGTTAATCACACAAAATCTAACTCTTACATAAGACACATCCATTCACACACATTCCAAATAGAGTAATACAACAACACACACTAAAAAAAGGCAAAAGATGTTACCAAATACTAATTTGTTTTGCAATTTCAAAAATTCCAAAAACCATAAACACAAACAATGATCCTGTATGTTATTCAACAAAAGCTAAAATACATCTCACAAATCAGAAGATATTCCGTTCCACAGGCATACCGCACTCACCCACAGGACAAGCAATTGTAGAAAAAGCACACCACACACACAAAAAAATGCTTCAAAGGCAAAAAAGAGGAGAGTCGGTATATAACCCCCAGGAACACTTATAGCAAATATCATATGTTCTAAATTTCTTAAACTGTGATGATACAGACCATAGCAGGTATGAATACCAACATTAAACTCAAATACTTTCATCTTCCAAAGCACCAGTTATGAATAAAAATCTAATATCTAGGCAATGATCAGGACCAGTAGATCTCATAACTTGGGGGAGGGTATATGCCTGTGTATCCAAGGGTACCAAATTACAATGGATCCCTTCTAGATGTGTCAGGCCTTATATTAGCCCTCCCCCACAACAGAAACAATCACCAGAAAAAATGAGTGAAGAAACTGCATTTGAAGAAACATAACCAACAATAGTAAAAGGAACACACCACACATTGAGAAACATGCTATAAAAACACAAAAAAGGGGGGGGGAAGAGATATGGGTCTGGTCCCTATATGTGTAAATCTACATTAATACTTCTTCAAAACAGGAACAATCACAAAGAAGCAATAAATAATACAACAGAACCAAAAGAAACACACAAACAGTAACCAATACAAAACCAAAACTCCATGATTCAAACACAATAAAGGGTTTAAGAATGCATGTGTGAGGAGAGAATGAAACGGTGGCCACCAGAATATGAATGAGAAAGTTGAGTGGAGATGTGTATGTGTGTGTGAATGCAAATACACTTTATGGCAAGACATCTTAAACACTCATTCAGCAACACTACCTCAAACAACACTACTTCAAACACAACATCTACAACCCAACACATTTCCCTTTCAAATAAAGATGATGCCTTTACCCAATCTCACAAAATCACCCTCAGATAAAAGGTTTTACACATCTACAAACCCTGGTCATTTAAGGTTGCTTGAATATTGCATGAACCAATAAAGTTATAAACAGTTCAATAAAGGCCTTATGATGATAGACCCTGGATTTTATAAATGGTTAAGATTGGTTCTAATAAGAATGTTTAAAAAATGTATTGTTTTACAACTTGTTAATTATATAGAAAGAGGGGAGATGTGGCAGGAAGAATGTAGTAAGAAATTATGGGAGTTGTAGTCTTCCGGGTTCTCACACATGCTCAATCAATACTTGATTGTCATTGGTTGGAAGATCATGTGACTCATTTGAACACTGTACTTAAGTTGCTGCCTTGTTTATTAAAAGTGAATTCTGCCCTGGCGCTTGATTGTGTCGCTGGCGGGGTTCGTGCCTTATTCACCACCTCAAGCAATAACAAAAACAACAACTCCATTTCCAGCACAAATCCAAAACACAGCCCCACAGCAGCCACTGGGAAGAAAGTTAGCTCTACGTCAGCCAAAACCAGCACTTTTTTCTTTTCTGAGATATTATATGTGTTATATATATACCCAAGCCAAACCCAGCACAATAATATATTTAGACATAATATAAATTTAGAAAATATATATATAATATTCCCAAATAAAATGCTTCAGTGCAAAGTGGGACATGTCAAAACACTTACATATTGAAAAGTCAGTGAAGAAAATGCATCATACTTTGAATTTGATTAGAATGTTTCATTTCTATGGTGTTACTAATATTTAATAAAACATTAAAGTCTGTAATTTAAAAATACACCATGGTCCCAAATATGAGACTATTTTGTTTTTCTTCTTCAAAATTTGGCCTCACTTAGCATTCTGAAATCATCAGAATCATCTTGATCCTTTTAGGTCCCTTCCAACTCAGGATATTCTATGTTTCTATGGTTTTATTCTACTGTTTTTGATGGATATTCATTTGATTATCATTATTGCACATGGCTGAAAAAAAAATCTAAGACATCTGGTAAGCCAGAGGAATCTTTCATTGATTGAGTTCAGACACAGGCCAAACCAACTACCACTAAATGGTTTAAGGGATAAACTTTGGTTCAGTATTAGGAAACTGAGAGAATTTTTCAGCCTGGTAAGTAATCTGTTTTTTTCAGCCTGGACTCTCAGTCTACTACTCACTGTGAACTTACAGAGCTACTAAAAGGCTAGTAGACCACTGATAAAAATTATTCAAGACACAGCATGATACCCAGTTAGCTTAAGGCTGTGCATACATATTTGTTATGGGTTTAGACTTCTTGGTGAATTTTCCCATTACCATGGTGAAAATGCTGGCAAACTAAGAAAGGGAAAAAGGTAATTCACTAAGTTTTTCTGCCTGCTAGAGCAAAACTCCCCAAGGTGGATAGCCGGCAATTAAGCCACACAAAGAAGTAGCTAATAGCCCTTGCATACCAACTGAATCACTCGGGGGACTTCCTTCCTTTAGCCGTGGCTGAGGTACCAGCCCCGAGAGGGGTGGAGGGAGCAGTGCTGTGAGTTCGAACTTAAATGGAGGTAGCCTTTTTCCCTGGCTTGGCTGCCGGTCCAGAGGGGAGACCCCCCCCTTTAAAGCGGAAATCGTGCGACAGCCTGAAACAATATAAAAGACCCTCTGAACGAGATTTACTCACTCCCCTTGCTCAGAGAACGGTGTGGAGAGGTTCCCGCGTTCGTCTCTGCCAGTTTCACACGTCTCCCGACCCATCAGCTCTGCCACTCAGCTGCCGCCTTGCTTGGGCTCGCAGCAGTCCCAGGAGTGTCTCAGCCACCCCCCCCTGCCCCCCACAGACTCAGACCTCGGCAACTGCCCGCACTGAGACCGGCTGCCACTTGCGTGAGTTCGCAGGAATCTCCTGAGAGGGAGAACACTACCATCCCCCTCGTGCTGGCAGTAGCCAGCACTGCCCGGGGAAGCCCCGAGATCGTCCCAGACCGCCTCCGCTGCCACCCGCGTGCCAGCTCCCTCAGCCGCGGCAGTCGTCTGAGCCGGAGCTGCCCGGAGCGCCCAAAATTGTTTGCCTCCCTGCATGTCAGCCACCACCGGCGACCACTGCTGGCTGCGAGTCACTGCAGTCTTTCCTTCCAAAGCGTCCCAGCGCCTCCTGCTGGCTGTGGTTATAACTGCACCGAAGGGGAAGTAGTATTTTCTGGGTGAAAGTTTCTGTTATTGTGTTGTTGTTTGTTCTGTTTTGTTCTATATATTTTGAGTAAGGAACTGTTATTCCTTTTTCTACATTTTGCCTGAAAGCCTCTTAATTTCGAATCTATAATAATTTGGAGGAAGGAGTCTTCTTTCTATTCCAGGAAGGTTCCTGCCTTCCTTGGCAGACACTGTCTTTAAACCAAGACAATATTGCTTTAATAAGAAGATGCTCATGCCAGGGTAGACCAAAGCAGCTGGAAGTTCAAGAGATGTGATCAGAATTTGCCTAGAGAATAACAGACTGGTTTTGTGATGTGCAGGCCCTGAGAGAAAATGACAAGATGCCTACATCAGCAACATTGCTATCAGCACTTTTGCTTGTACTGATCAAAATCTTCGATAGGTACCTATTCTACAGATGTCTACATAACCTCCTTGCTAGCAAAGTACGTGATATTGCTTATGGTATGAGGTACTTATCAATGTAGTTAATAAGCTGCAGGAGGAGATAGCTCTGTCAAAAAAGTAAGAGCAAAAGAACTTCAAAGAGATTGCGTAAACACCTAATGCTCAGGAAGCCAGGTGGCTTTTCAAGGGTGATCAGCAAACTGTTTTACAGTCTCTTTCCAGTTCCATTTGCTGAGCTAAAAAAATATCATGTGTCTCTGGGAGCTGGAAAGGAGGGAACAGACTCTAGCAAGCAGGATGATGAAACAGCATGCTAGGCAAAGTGGTTGTCACTTGTCGTGGTTTAACCCCAGCCAGCAATCAAGCACCATGCAGCTGCTCACTCACTGCCCCACCAGCAGGATCTGGGACAGAACCAGAAGGGTAAAAGTCAGAAAACTCATGGGTTGAGATAATGACAGTTTATTAGAGAAAGAAAAAGCCACATAAACAAGCAAAGCAAAACAAGAAATTCATTCACCCCTTCCCATGGGCAGGCAGGTGTCCAGACATCTCCAGGAGAGCAGGGCCTCATCCCACATAATGGTGACTTGGGAAGACAAACACCATCACTCCAAACATCCCCCCCTTCTTCCTTCTTCTCCCCAGCTTTATATACTGAGCATGATGTCATATAGTATGGAATATCCCTTGGCTCAGTTGGGGTCACTTGTCCCAGCTGTGTCTCCTCCCAACCTCCCATGCACCCCCAACTTCCTCCCCAGCATGGCAGTATGAGGAGCAGAAAAGGGCTCTGTGTAAGCCCTGCTGAGCAATAACAAAAGCATCTCTATATTATCAACTCCATTTCCAGCACAAATCCAGAACACGACCCCATACTAGGCACTGTGAAGAAAGTTAACTTTAACTCAGCCAAAACCAACACATCACCACATAGAAGAAGGTAGCTGTGGTCAGTCTCCTGGAAGTATCAGAGGCTTGGCTTATAGAAAGTACCCTACCTGCAGGATAAGAAGTTAGCTTCTTGCTTGTTAAGCACTTGCAGGCAGAGCCTTACTTTCAAACTTTTTCAACATTAAATCAATAACCAAGTAGTAACAAATCCTGCTCTGTCCTTTCTGATCCTGGAGAGTTCTCACAATTGCTTCTGAAGCGTGGGTGTTTGCTCCCTGCAGTCTCCTACCTCTGTATTGCAACTACCTGCCAAGTTGCATGATTACACAAGTAAGCTCAGTTCTTCACCAGACAGCAACCCTATGCATTCTTTAGGAAGACTCCAATTTATCCTATGACTCAGCAACTATAAACATAACTTTAAAAATAAATAAGAAATACCATTCATCTCCAAGAGGAGAAAGGGAAAAAAACAAGATGGGCTTTACATTAACTGCCTACTATCCATGAAAAGGATTACAAGTCATGGGTAGAGGGATGAAGGTGTTATGCGCATATATAATGCTTTTATCAATACCTAAACTTATATGGTCCTAAGTTCTTAAATAGCTTTCACTCAAACTTAAAGCCAACTACAGTCAAATTACTGACTTTTTTAGTCTTTCAAGACTTGAGGTCTTTCTGAAAGGGTTATTCCTATCAAGGCATTAGTCACAGGCATAATGTAGTAGCCCACTACATCTTACTCACCGCTTAGAATAATGCTCTGTTAGCTGATATTCTGTTGGAGAGACCCTGCCAGGATTATCTGCTCTGTTTCACTCATGTCATTATACCATTTAAAAAAATTTCATTGTATTTGCTTGGAAATGTGTTTGGCTTTGTGTTTATATAATCTACATATCTTTTAATTTCACTAAAGAGAACAACTTGGCTTTTTACAAGACTGGATTATAACACAAATAGCAGTATTATTTCAAACTATGTCAAAGAAAACTCTGCTTAGTCCGTTGGGGTTTGTTACACAGAGAAGTGAGATATACATATGATAGTTAGTGGAAATCTTTTTTGATACAGTTTTTACCAGCATAGGGAGAATTCTGTGAATACAATCTGTTATAGGTTATAAATCTGAGAGCTGAATTTTCCTATCCCTGCTCCATTCTAAGAAAACCGGAGTGAGTGGGGGAAGAAAGCCAATTAGCTTCACAAAGGATCTGGCCGAATTCCTGGTTAATGGCCCATCAGAGACTAGGGGGTTGCTGGTCGCCCTCACACAGGACAGTTTATAGTTTGCTGGGTTCTCTCCCAAGGACAGAGACAGGGTCTGCGTGCGGAGCATTTGGAGAGAAGACCTGGAAGCCTGCTTGTCTGACTGCCCATCCCGGTCAGCCTGGACTGCTGACTTCAGCTTGGCCTGGGAGCTGTCTCTTGTCCTCAGCCCGGATCTGCTGTGTTTCATCGGAGAGTCTCTGTGCTCGCTGGGAGAAAAGGAGGAGCTTTTGGGGTACCATCAACTGAGAACCACAGTGAGTCTTGTTGGGGGTGAACTGCCTTCCTTACCCCTTCCTTCCATTGGGGGTAGGGTCCCCCATCTTCTTTTTGGCTCCTCCCGCGACCTGAGACCAACCCCCCAGACCCCTCTTCCCGCGTGGTGACTACCAGAGCCCAACAGCGCCCCCTGCTGACCACCACAGAGTACTGCAAACCCTGCACCTTCAGCGATCCATCAGCGCCCCCTGCAGGCAACGATTAGGACTGCGCTAAAGGACAGAGAAGTATTCACTCAGATTTTTTTTTTTTTCTAGGACTACTGTCTAGTTTTTTTTGTGTTCTGTTACTGTTTTTGCTAAAATACATATATCTTTTAATAAAGGGTTGTTATTTCTTCTATTGTTTTTCCACATTTCCTCGATTAAAGCCCCTAATTTTGAATTTACAATTGCTGAGAGAGAGGAGTTTGGTCTATCTCATAACTCATCCTCTTTAGCAAGCATTCCAGTCTCTTCAGACTGTGACGCAATCTTTGCTTTTATATTATGCTATTCTCAAAAATTATTATATACATTTTTACCAAGATAAAAAGATGTCAGAAAAATACAATTAATGTAAAGAATGCTAAGTCACAGTTAAAGAAAGGCATACAGGTTTATTTTTAAATAGAAGTACAAATAATATTTACTTGCATAGCAAAAAAATACAATTCTTGAAAACATATAAGGCATAAAACCATCCTAATCAAAATTAGAAGAGTAATATTATAGTTCATGCAACACATCTATGGCAACAGTCATAGGGGCTATTGGGCAATTCTTGATAAGAGTCTTCTCTGGCAAATTTTTAAATTGCCAAGAAAGGGTTTGTAACTATTTTAAGACAACTATCTGACATTAGGAATTGCTAGATTTATGGATTAATAAAATAAAAAATTATTGCATTTTTCTTTTGCTTGAATAGCCTATTGAAGTATATATGAAAAACACTAAGTCCATTTTATCAAACTAGCCACACCTCAAATCCAATACAAATCATAAGCAACAGAGAAAACTGAGTAATTTCTCAAGCCACATAACTCCTAGGAAATATTTGTTTTGATCCTAGATGATAAATGAAAAGTGACCATTAGAGCAATATCAAGCCTCTTTGTGCGAGGCAGTATGAATGAAGTATTTTCACTGACAAGTACCGGAAATAAACAATAATTTCAAACAAGCTGAAGAGTAAGGTTACCAGAATTCAGAAGAAACAATACTACAGTGGGTTTTTTTCCCAAATGGGTTAAAAGGTGAGAATAATTCTTCTACTGCACACACATGGAGCAACTCCCATTTCAAACCAAGCACTTCAGACCTGGTCAACTGTCCTGCAAGTCTGCCACCCATCATATTATAGATATTCAGCTAACCATGTAAGGATTCTCCTAACTGGAGCACTATATTACAAGTAGTCTGAATTGATTTGGTATGGGGCTGACAATAGGACTTACAGTGTTTGCAGCCTAATGTTACAAAAGTATAGGGAGAAACATGACATTTAGTATTTACAGACTTAGAGAAAACTATCTCAGTCTTTCTATTATTCATTTAATCTATTTCCTTGGGGACCAAGACATTTTTCAATAGCCTCAAAGCACAATACATGAGTAAACCAGAAGTCTTATGGATGTAATACATTTTTTATTTTATTAGTAGCTTGGTTATCACTTTAGTTTTGTCCAAGTCAACACCTTTTCATCCAAGTACTGGTTTCTGTATGTATTATAAAATCCTTACAGTGGTATTAGTTCTTATAAGTATTTTCACAGAGTAGATGAAGTAAAACGGAGAAGTAAGAGGTATAAGAAACATTAAATGCTAGTGACAGTGCAAAGAAAAAGTGCTTTCACAAAGTATTCTCCTCAGGTCTTTTCTGTGGCCTCTTGCAATGTAGAGGCTGAAAGAGGACTAGACTCACCACTAAAGCAATTCAACAGACAAAAACTGACTTTCGGAGGTCTTAAACTTGAGCCTTAATTTGCTAACATCTACTCATAAAGGCAAAAAAAGCTTCAGTGGAATTGCACAACATTCAGCCCATGCAAATGTGAGGCAAACATTACTTAGATTGAGAAGTGACAGAATATGGCCTCAGATCAAGTTTGTAGGACACCTCCAGTAAACAGCAGTGGTCTCTGATCCCACTTCAAAATAAAGCGTGACAGGAAACAGCTGAGAAGGAAGCTTAAAAAGCCATTACATTATCTAATTTGACTGTGTAAAAATGGGGCAAATTTCAATTCACATAATTCTGCTATTTTTGTTGTTACAAATGCTTTCTGCTACTACAGCAATCAATAAAAGAATGAGGAAGACCAACAAGGTGAACACAGGGAAAAAATATGGGATGGAAAAAAATGGCTTCAAACAGGTACTGAACTAGATCTGGGTTTTCCAATTTTAAAATATGATTTAGATAGACTGTGAAACTATGTACAGCTGTTGAAAGACAATGCCATGTGTATAAAAACATGCATAAGTTAATCTTGGTATATCAACAAGTGTGAAGTTCAGACCTCACTTTCAATGCAGTTTCCAGTTGCACATAACATTTAGATTATAGAAGCACTATTTCGTTTCCTCCATAAAGTTTATGTGTATTGAGATTTTTCAGGCACAGTTGTAGGGAAAAGCCTACAGAAGGTGTTTTTTGGGGGGGGAGCAGTTGTCTATACGGAATTAAAATAATTTCACTGAAAATTGCTAAAAAGTGTATGTTTTGAATCAGGGACAAAGTTTATTAGGCTAAAACACTAGGTAACATTTTTGAAGGTGTATAAATGAAGCAGGAAATGTCAAGATGATGAAAAACATCAAGGTGAACATTAAGTTGAAGAAGAGCTGAATGATTTAAAAATTCAAAACTCCTAACTTAGGCTACAAGGATCTTCATTAGTGAGAGTCTCTAGAAAACAGAGGTTAATACTTTTAGTCAAGAGTAAAGCATGAGTAGTGCATAGGTACGATCTCAGAAAACACAATAAACGTATATTGATGAGTCAACCACTCCACATAAGCTTTAGATTAGGCAGAGTCTGAACCTATTATTTTTACAGCAGTGCTAAATCATTCATCTCTTCCTATAATCTAGCTTTCAGATTTTAACTGTATTGAATCATATAACTAGAGACTATGTCATAAGCCAAATTTGCCAAATGACCAGAGGTTGATTAATTCTGGAGCTGCTTAAAACCAAAGCCCCAAGTGTCTTACAATTTTTTGCATTTACAGAGCTATGTTATATGACTTATAAAACTAAGAATCAACACACATTCACGCTATCTTTTTCAGAAGAGAATCTTCTCTCTGACTGCAAAGGGCAGTCAAATTGGTTACATACCTATGGGACACAGGTGCTCTGTTTGAACAAGAAATGAAGTGTCAAGTTTTTTAAATGATCAAATGTGAGATGCCATTCCCTTACCAGACACTTCCTAGTCAATTAAGATAAATGCTTGCAATAATCCAGAGTGAATTCGCAAGACATTCCTCTCCAGCTTGGCTGCCCATTCTCACTCTCCTGTTCCTTAAGCCTACTTGTTGGGTGCTGCTTTGTCTTTGGCAACTTTACAGGACAGGAACTCTTATTCTGTCAGGAGTACCCAACAAAGAGGGTCTCAGCATGATTCAGGACTCCTGGCCTTGTTAGGACACAAGTTACCAATACCTAAAGCACTTGTAATAAAAGATCAAAGATCAGAATAATAGTATAACAGTGTTATAATGGTGATGCCTAAAAGAAAATTCAGAGAGAAAAAACTCCGAGGTAAATTAGTTTTGAAGGTGAGATAAGGAAAGGGTTTAATTTGTGCCTAGGCATAAAGTTACAAGACACGCGCCCCTCTCTGTTACAGATGTTACAATTTATAATACTGCTTGTCCAATCCCAGGTTTTGTCCACCCACTGGCTTTTGCCTTGGACCACCTTCTATCCGCCCCTTGGGAATTGGGGCTGGGGTCTTTTGAGACCACCTCTTCATCAATCTTCATCTTCTTCAGAACACAAAGGGTACATGGTCACCCAGTTTCTGACCGTGTTCTGCGGTTTAGGCTAAGATACAAGCATTCTCCAAACAGAACAGGCCTATCTTAGAGTGAGACTAAACATGTTCTAATGGAATCCAG